GAGACGTTTCATACGCAGGATTTTTCGTCGTTCGTGCCGATCGATCTCGTTTCCCGTCCGGTCGGATTTTCGCTGACAACCTTCCCTTGTTACCCATTTTCCTACACACACACACACACACACAGCGCCGCGAGGCCGGCGCACGAAACTTGTGTAAACTCATGCGCCATGGGCTCGAGCTATGGAAAACCGCGACGTCGATTCAGCGCAGCATTTCATAAAGAACGGCTTTTCCGCTGCGTCGGCGATATCACTTTTCTCCCGCAGGGGCCAACGTTACACGGTGAATATCCGGTGTGCGCTGCTGGCGAAGCACACACACTTTTCTGACGGGTAAGACCGACCGCCCGTCCGCCCCGCCGCAAGAATCGGCGTCACTTTGACGCGAACTACATCTTCGATTCCGTGCGCGTTCAGCAACTGGAAAGGTTGCGCAGCAACGATATCATATCTGCGAGATATCGTACGTGCAACATGACGCAAAAGTGCGTTTCCGAGTTGCGAAATACACACAGTTTTATGCGGGATCGAAACATTATTTTTGCCGGAGGTGAGGTACTCGCTCGCTCTGCGAGTACACCGCATTTTGGATTACGTGATACTCGGCTCCCGAGGATTAATCATCGGGATTGCGATTTTTTTTGAGAGAGAGAGAACTCGCCGAGCTAGTTTGCTACATGTCGTGTATTAAATTTTCAAAATTGGATCCCCGGGGAGTAGGAAAAAAAAAGAGAGAGAGAGAGAGAGAGAGAAGAAACTATCTCGCGGCGCGAGACGCGTAGTATCACGTGCGCAATGTTATTCTTTCTCGTAGAAGCGGAAATTCACTCTCGGTCCCGCGCGCGCCGCTGTTATGGAGAGAAAATTTTGTTTTTCATCGGCGGTAGAGAAGCCCAATTTCAAAATCAGTTTGCGGGAAAAGGCGAAACAGTTTCAATATGAACGACCGATAACGCTGTAAAAACTGATCGGTTCGCGTAATAATTTCCGTCGTGATAAATATTCATTGACTCCGATATAATGAATTTTTTTTTAATCAAACGAATGTGTGCGGAGCGTATAACAGCGCGGCCGCGCCGCTGCCGCGTTTCCCATCGCGATAACGATACACAACTCGCGCACAAAGCAATCCGCACAGTAATGCTCTCGTCGTTGTGACGTAAAAAGAAGAAAAAATCATCAATGAAACGGCGAGATCCGCGGAAGAATGTCTGTTTCGAAACGAAAAAGATTGTATCCGGCTCTATTCACGTTGTATTCGCTCTCTCTCTCTCTCTCTCTCTTTCTCTCGCGCGCATCTTTTTTCCGAAAATATGTCAAATAGGCAGACGGCGCGTCACAGAAGCTCAGCTTTTTTTTTTTTTTTTTTTTTTTTTTTCTTTTTTTTTTTTCGAAACGCTTTTCAACGCGACTCGCGGCTGTCGCGCGTTGTTACCCTCCAGGGGCGGAGCAACAGAGGGAAGATCACGCGAGGCACGGCGGCAAGGTGCGCGCGACGGGACGACAGGAGCGATCCGCAGAGTTGCCGCCACCCTTCAGGACTCATAATGCACCGCGAGCAGCCCAAGGGAAATTTAGCGGATGCCGTGAAAACCGTTGTTTTATACGCTCATACAGGGGCGCACACGCGAGACTCTCCTACGGATATCTCCTACAAACGGTAACGGTGGATATGTGTGACGTGTAAAACGTACGTGTGTGCGGATGGCAAAGGCGTACACCCATACACGCACACACACACACACACGTAGATGGGGCAAGAGGTAAAAAGCGTACGTGTGTTGCCGGGTGTAACGCCGTTAACGTTAACTCTATGAGTCTACAAGGCGCAAGAAAAATAGAAGAGCGCGCGCGCTCGCGGCGAAGATGGCCGGCGAGGCGCGCTGACCTCGTATCCGACATATAAATGTATAACGGCGCGAAAAAGAAGCCCGCAATGCTAACTTGGAATGACTGCAAATTTAATTACCGTCTCTTCTGTTCGCGCCGCGGGATGAATCGGACTTCGTCGCAACGGACAGGTTCGCTTCATTCCGTCTAAATCATCCCGAGAGAGAGAGAGAGAGAGAGAGAGAGAGAGAGAGAGAGAGAGAGAGAGAGAAAGAGAGCGAATATAACGCGCGCGAAACTGATAAACCGGAGTTCGAATAATTTAATCGAGAAAATCGAGCGACACAAAATAGCGCCTATCTTTCTCATTCGTAACGGAGAATCCTAGTTTTTGCGCGCGACGACGCAAATATTCTCTCCGAACCCCGTGTGTGTATGTACGCGCGTACTTTTTATATTCGCGAACTACGCCAAAGGGATTGGCATCCATCGGCGCGAATGCCGGCTTGAAAATCCACGCGGCAAAATTTCAATACACCCTTCTGTCCCAGTTTTCGAAACAGGCGGAATCCCGCCGCGGAAAATCCATTGAAAAGAGGGAAACTTGAAAAAGTTCAGAGATTACAAAATCGAATATGAAGAATATTGTTGGAATATTCTATTAAATAGTTGGAGATATAAAAATATATGTATATGCGCGATATATATATATATAAATACATTTCATGTGTGAATGCAAATACATTTAAACGCGCAAATATTAAAAAGTGAAAAGAACGCGCACTCACACAAATATATATACAATCTACACAGATAACAAAAGTCACTGAGCTTGAATGCAACAAGATTCTCCGCGTTTAAATTCAGAGAGAAGTGTCATTGTGCGAGGCGCGAGAATAATTTCGAATAAGCGACGAAATAGGCACCGGGCGTCGCCATTTGTTCCGTCGCGTAAACTCGTTTCCTCCGTTTCTTCCGCGAGGCTGGAAGCGGACCAGCTCCAGAAGAACGGTAAATTAGGGACTGCATAATATATTCCCGACCGTGACGGCGGGTACGGAGTGAAAATTCTGCTTAAAAATTCAAAACTTGAAACGAGAGACCTAATATGCGCGCTGTGTGAACTATCGCTCATCGGGGCTGAAAATGTAAGGAAGAGAAATGACTCTTGTGACAGAAACTCAGAAATTGGACGAGGCGAGATAAAGAGAGGTTTTCGTCAAGTTTGATAATGGAATGCTCGCGCACTCTTTTGTTTTGCATATCGCACGGAGAGTTCCTCTCCACTCTCTCGTGCTCCAAATAATAGAAAGAGAGAAAGAGAGAGAGAGAGAGAGAGAGAGAGAGAGAGAGAGAGAGAAAGAGAAAGACAGTAACATTTTTACACGATATACACAACACGTACGCATCTCGTGGATATCCGCGCGGTGTATGTGTGTGTGTGTGTGTGTTTTGTAAAATCAATAGCTCCCGTGTGGCGAACAATCGAAGAAAAAGATGAATTAGTAATGGCCGATCGGATCTGTAGTGTATCACTCGGGCTTGCTTGTGTGTATTTCCAGCTTTTATCCTTGCACTACTCGGACGAAACTTTGAAACAAGTTTGAATTGTTTGACGTTCGCGCGCGAAAACCGAAGAGGATAGAGAAGAGAAAGAGATAGAGAAAGAGAGAGAGAGAGTGCGGGACAGAAGCAGTCGAGGAATTTGGAAAAATTTACCGGCAAAAGAGAGAACGAATCGGATCGATGCTTTTCTCTCTACAGCCGACGGACTGGAAAGGAAATCCATTCGCGATTCGCTCAGTTTTAATACGCTCGGACAGCCGGCGTATATATACATCCGTTTCCGTTTTCCGGCGCGCCAGGCCGCGCGCGTCGTTCTCCGCTAGTCTGGCGCAGCATCCTCTTCTCCTCGTTCTCGCCACCTCCTCCGCAAATATTCTCGCCGATTCTTCAATACCTGACCGAGACCGACGGGACGCCGTCCGGTGGAAACGACGCTTTCTGGAGCGCGAAATTGCGACGTGACCTCTTCTATCCCTCCCCTCTCTCTCTCTCTCTCTCTCTCTCACTCCCGTTCTGCATACGCCGATATCTTCTCACGGGTCGCTTCTTTTTTGTTTTACCTCAAAAAAAAAAAAAAAATATTCAATCGTTCAAAGCAAAGACAACGTACACGCAACGACAGTTGCATCGCCGCATTGCGGCATTTTATTTTTTTGATCGCGGCTCCGCCTGTCAATTTTATTGTGCGCATCTCGCGAAAACAAAGTTAGTCTCGCGCGTCTTATTTTGTAAATCAATTACAAAAGAGGATTACGAGTTGATGCGCGCGCATTAAATTGACCGTTAAATTGACACGCGCGATTGTTATTTTTATCCCGTTTCTCTTTCACACAAGTGTTTCACGTTCGTTATATTTTAACTGCGAAATAATATAATTACGAGACAACATTTCTCGTCTAAGCAATTAGTAGTTATGAATCGACTTGTCGCCACGTCGCTTTATTATTGTCGCAAATAATCTATCTAATGCTTTCTTTCTTCTTCGGTGTTTAAATTTTGCAAAAGTACCGCGCTTTCGCAATAAAGCGAAAGCGCGATTTAAAAACTTATTAAAGTTGGAAATAGACGCGCGGATGGTTAGCTATACATGCGCGGGTAACGGCAATACTCCCCGTCCGTCTACACGTTTCTTGGTAAAGGACGGTGAAGCTCGTGAAACGCAATCACCTTTCGTGTCGCACCTGCGTCAGTCAACCTAGTTATTTGTAAGTAAAACGAATTTCCTTACGTCGGAAATAACCACTCAAAGTTATTGGTAACGCAATATAAAAGCTAGCAATAAAAACAAAACATAAACCTCATCGTAAATCTTTCTCTCTCTTTCTTTCGTATTAAAACGCAAAAAAGCTCGTCGCGACGCGACTTCCCCGCATAAAATTATCCCGTCCTGGGTATCGAACGCGAAGCGAATTCTATCTCATCTTCGTTCATTCGTTCATTTTATAAAATTGAAATAAGATGCATAAAATTGTTTTGTTTTGTTTGTTTGTTTTTTTTTTTTAAAGAAAAAGAAAGCATGCTATATTCGACACTCCGAGATTCTTCCGATCGTATGACGGAAGGTACAGGTGGCAACTATCCGATATCAGCATTTCGTTTTTCAGGGCCCCCATTGCCTGTTAGAGCGGTCCTCGGTGGAACGGCCGAGCTGCCATGCGACATTCGTCATCCTCAGGGCAACGATTCCGCTATCTTGGTCGTTTGGTACAAGAGCGACGTCTTCCCAATCTACAGGTAAGCTCTTAACCCGTGCGGTTTACGATTATTAGACGAAACTCTTGAAGGTTGAGCGCTCGCGTATCGCATGCGAGTGGCCGACGGATAAACTCAAAGAAGATACGACCGCCGGGGTTCACATTATCTGACATGTTTATTTCAGCTCGAAATCTCACATGTTGAGCGAGCGTTAAAAAAAGTGACAAAATATATGTACTTACCATTCCAGGAATAAATTTTTACATATTTTTACACGAGATTATGTTATTAATTTTCCCGACGGACCGGCAATATTTTCGACGACAAACAATGAGTGAAAAAATTACATCAAACGTGTTTTTCATTTATAACTTCAAAATTTAGTCTCACGTTTGTTTTTTTTTCTTTTTTTTTGGGAGGGGGAGGGAAGGAGATAGTTCTTTCGGAATTTCATACGAACGTTATATCGCGGGGGATATTATTAAAGGCGAAACGAATATACATCAGACAAAAGCCGATGTTTTATTCAGTGGTATAATGATTAATTATTTCTTTCCGCCGCCTTACTCGCTCGCTTTTATCACTTATCTCTTACTCTCGCATCGGGGTTAAGTTACCACTACGGTGGAATCGTTATAAAAAGCCGACGTAGCCTGGATATACAATGTGTTCGCGAAAGACCGTTAAAAAAAAGTCGCCGAGCGACGTGCCGCCAATTGTAGACGTCGTAATTTTGTAATTGCGTGACGTAATGGATAATTATTTCTAGCCCGTCCGACTCGTTCGCTCGCCCTCTTTATCACTTATCGCCTCGTCTCTCGTATCGGAGGTTTAGAGTTATCACCGCGCTACGCCTGGTATAATAAAAAAAAAAAAAAAAAGTACGAGCACCCTGTGAATATACACACAACGTGACCCGCGCTCGTTAAACGTAACGATAAAAGCGACGATAGGAAGAGGCCCCGGAGCCCCTTTGGTCCACGTAAGCGATATTCGCGCGTGCGACTTACACTCGCGTGTAAAGCCGGCGCGAACTCTCTCTCTCTCTCTCTCTTTCCGCTTTCGTGTGCAAAGACGTCGATGTTTGATGGCAGCGCCCGATACCGGGCACCGCTTTGCGAAAATGCGAGCTCGCCCGCGAGCACGAATCCGCGACAAAAAGAAAGACAGAGGGAAAAAATACAAACCGGGGTTTGGCTAAAGGGTGACTTTCATATCTACGACCCGCTCGGTAAACATTCCGCTGGCCGAAACTGTGAGCATATTACAAAAGGGCGTGTTTACACGAAGGAAGGACGAGGGGGACCGGCGAAAAAATTATTTAAACCGCGAGTCTTATAATTTTCAGCAGGCTGAACAGAATGTTTGCGTTTAACATGTTTAATTTTTAATGCGAGTTTTAACAAAGCGCCTTTTAATTTAATTACTGGTGACCACCGCTTGCGGTGGTGGTGGTGGTGTCTTTCCCACGAGAAGAACTCGCGCCTCGGTATAAATATTTCGGTCGAGGGTGAGGGTGAGGGTTCGGGAGGGATATCACGTTTCAAAACTGATTAGCATGAAAACCCGGAAAGTCATCATCCCGATTCCAAAGTAAATTTCTCGCAGTCGCATGAAAATGCAGTTACACGCAGTTTCGCGAAATATAATCAAGCATCTCAAACACACCAACTCCGCCATTGGTAATTAACTCTACGTTAGCATAAAACAAATAGCAACTGAGTTACGAATCGGTTATACCGGGACTTCCTAAACTTTGCTGGCACGGTCCTCCGCGCGCGCGCGCGCGCTTCGAAATCTAAATGTCTCTTGCATCTTTGATGTCGCGCGCCGTGATGTAAATATACAAAATAACGAAAACAAATATAAATGTCGCGCGAATTCTCGCAAAAAACACGTTTAGCAGCCTACTTATTTTTCTCAAACTTTATCAACTTTTGAACGATAATCGGACGGTCTCACATCGGGAGTTGCTGTGAATATTATTTTTCAATCGTTTGTATAGAAAAGAGCACTCGCGCGCGCGCGCACAAAGCCGGCTACTAAAAGATTGCTTGTTGGCGCACACCGACGGCGGCGGCGGCGGCGGCGGCGTGTGCCAGATAAAATCGCCGGATCACGAGCCACAATTCACAATGTCGAATTGAAAGTCCGAATGAAAAAGCGACGGGCCGTTTGTTACGTTTTTCTCGATACGCCGACCGCAATCAAATCGGCAGGCATAGTCACTCGTCAGATAAATTTCTCTTCTGTTCCGTCGTCAGTGCAATTCGCTGCCTGTCGCTCACGCGCAAAGTCGCAGACAAGACGAATATGCGCGCAGTCGCGAGATATACGTTAGTTTTTGGGCGATGATACTTTATGTATGCGCGGTGAAACAAAATGAAAGACAAATGTGCACTTCAAAAGCTGGCTAAAATCTTCAAAAAAAAAAAAAAAAAAAAATTATTGCGACAAAAGAGTCTTCTCTTAACAAAACGTCAAATAAAAGCCAGATAATTTTCTCGAAGAACCGGAATATATTTCTTGTACGAGTTCTTCTAAGAAACTTATTAAGAGATACGAAGCTCTCTGAAATTTGAAGTAAAATTCTTTGTGCGCTCAACGCGAAGAGAGAGAGATAGATAGATAAATAGATAGAGAGAGAGAGAGAGACGAGAAATAAAATAACAATTCTTAGAAGACTTGGGCGAGTGCAAGAGAGGAGGACGCGAAAACCGGAACTCGGTTTCCCCAGCGACAAAACTCCGAGTTTTGTTATCTCGATTATTTTTGAGCGTAATCCCCGTATTCGCGCATGTAGAGTGAAGGAGCTTTAACCACGGAATGTGCAATCCCTCCGGGATTGAAACAATTGTCATGGGAGAAACCGTGAGTGTGTGGCACTGGTAAAATATATATACATATATATATATATATATGTACCAGATGTACGTCCGCGGATTAGTCTTGGACGCGAAACGTCCGTTTGTACATACAAATTGGATCTTGCAATTTACTGTTTGCGGCGTCAAGAGTGGAGTCAACTCTCCGCGCGAATGATTGTTTTCAAAACCGACAATTAGAGCGCGTTTGTTCCGCACTTTCTCCCGATGTGTCTTCTCCTCGCGACAACAAGAGTATTGCGCTTTCTGTTTGTGTCTAAGACGGCGGTCAGAGAGACACTTCTATCACAAAGCGCGGGACGAAAGTATATACACGCAGCGCGCGATCAAAGGTCAGAGACAAGCGTCGACAAGCAGCAGCAGCAGCAGTGTGTACGGCTTATTAATTTATAGACCGCTGAAAGATCATAGACCGCCGCGATCTTAATCAAATTAATCGGTGTTTCGAAACGGTATATAGTAACAGCGTGCATCGCCCTTTTCATTACGGTAATGCGTCGCATCATCTAATGGATATACGCGCTCGACAGGCTCTGTGGGAATTACAATGAACCACCGTAAGTAAATATCGCCGTACCGGCGCCGTTGACTCCAGCGCGCACGACACAAATAAATAATTGTAAATTGTTCATATCCGCCTGCTATACGGTCGCTGATGCCTTTGATGAATTCTGTCGCGTCACTTGCTTCGCCGAGAGACAGAAAGGAAGGAAAAGGGAAGGGAGGACGAAGGGGGAAGGAACAGTACACGTCGTCCCTTCCGGAATTGCCCTAGTAAAGCGCAGCCGTGAGATAATGGAGTCGCATGCTACAGGGTCTTCCAAAAGGAAAGAGAAACACGAGAAAATGAGGGAAACTTGGGGGAGGAGGAGGGTGTCGCGCGGGGGGAAAGAGTAACGCTGAGGAAAATGTTTGACGTTCCGCAAGATAATGGCCGTATCGCGTCGGTGACGCGATTTAAGGGAAGCCGCTTTGTCAAAACCGCCGGTCCATTTTTCACGGTCGCGGTGTGTACGTTATTCGTCATCGTAAACGATTTTCTCTCTAACGGCTTTCGCGCGGCATTGAAAACGTCGCGAGGATCGTCCGCCTCGTAAATCACGTTAGATTGTAAAATTGACGCGAGTATCGATAAATATATACATATGTATATGTCTATGTATCCGGGGCACACCGAGGGGACACTGTAACGTCTCCGGATGTTACGTCGCGTCGTCGAAGAGATTACGCGTCTTCGAAGAGAAGAAAAACTCGAAGGTCGTGTGTGTGCGCGAGACAAGAAACGCGCGCGGATTGTTATTTTCACGTTATTTACGTTACGGCGCTCAACGTGGCTGTAAATCTGATCTCACTCGGCTGCTGCGGCGAATATAAAAATTTAATGTGGTTAAAAAAAATAAAAAAATTCAAACATCAGAACGATAGAATTGAGGATGTGCAAAATATAGACGCAAGATTCGACAGATAAAGGTTTATATTGTTAAAGTTTTAACACATCTCTGAGACTTTGGGGGAAAAATAAGGTCGATCAATTTTTATCAAAATAACAAGACGAGCGTGTTGTCAATTGATAATCTATCTATTTTACTTGACGTATCTTAGCTCGAAAACCTGCTTGAAATTAGCTATTATCGAGGCTTTATTCAGGGATACGCAATTTGCCAGTCACTCCGTTTCAGACTCCGTTATCCGGACAAAATCGATACGCCGATAAGAACTGACAGATAAGTTTAATTAAAACGATATGAACTGAAATTTGTCGATACTGCAGCTGTGCGTGTGTGTATATCGAGCACGCGCGCTGAAAAATATAGGAAAAATGTTAAATCTCTCGCAATGCCGACGCTGCTTTTTAATACACGCACTTTCGAGAATTTTTTCGGGGGGGGGGGGAATTCGACGCAGATCTCGCATTAAAAATCTCTTTCTCGAACAATTAAAACGAATTATTTATTGGCCCTCGCCCCTCGCCCCTCTTGCAAAGAGTATCGCACGAAAACAAATCAACTACGACGCGTGTCGCATATACAGCGCGATCAAAGTATGTCGTTTGATAATTCCGTGTTCTCCCCTCCTCCCTCTCCCTTCCTCCTCTCACGTCCTGTAACGATGTTTGAAAGGCTTGAAATCCGTTTGCCGTAAAGTCGGCTTACA